TAAAATAAATAATAAATATCCCGCCCATCTGGTATATTCTACCACTGCTGACTCTGATTCATACCACAGGCCTCTGCTCTTTTGAGACATGGAGTCTAGGACTACCCCTTTGCCATTAAGGGTCAAGCAATGTCATCGATATCGCAAATCACAACCAAGTTTGCTCTGAGGCAGGACATGTCCAGTTTACAGTAAGCTTCTTTAAATGGGCCTGAGGTAGATTTCAGGCAATCTTTTCCAGAATTTAGGCAAAATGAATACATCTCTGTGGGACTACCCTTGTACCTTTGCTTAGATTAGACATCCTTCAGTCTCGAGAGACTATGGTAATGTGCTCTGTATGCAGGACTTGGAACAGCATCACGTGTGGCTGAGAAGGTCAATTCGAGAGTGACAATCCCTCCCAGTTTGCACTAAGCTTCTTTAAATGGGCCTGAAGTGGATTTCAGGCAATCTTTTCCAGAATTTAGGCAAAATGTACTGATTTTGCCTAAATCAGTACGTACTGATTTTGCTAAGGTACTAATTAATGTCTTAGACTGTGGAATTCAAACAAGAGAATTGCTGCTAATTTCAGCTGTCAGCATCTTGTCTTTCATTGCCCTCCTTCAAAAGAAAATCAGGGATGGTCCTTGCAGACAAATATATGTATCAGGATTAGCCTTCTGCTCAATTTCTGGCCCTAGAATTCCACTCCAAAAGCTCTTCAACCTAGGAAGTCATCAGGAATGACAGCTTCTTATGCATAACCATAGAAGTGGCAAATGTTGTTTATTAGTTAGCTTGTGAAAAAAGTGCTCCTGTTTCCCTGTCACAGTGACAATGACGGTAATTAGGACAGAATGAAATTTTGAGTTAGAATTTTTTTTTAGTGATCTCTTATTTTACCAGCAGTAAAATGCCTAAGGTTAGGGTAAATAAAATATACTGAAGGGGCACCTTGTGCACTGCAAAGACATCTGACACTTGTAAGATGTCTCTAAGCTCTGAAGGTAAGGAATCTTGAACCTTATGCAGGATCTTTGGCAGAACAGGCTAAGCTATCAAGTATCAGACATGGAGGTGCAGGCTTCCCTTTGACCCTTCCTAGGGTCTTCTAGGATTAAAGGTAAAGGTAAAGGTAAAGGTTCCCCTTGACAATTTTTGTCCAGTCGTGTTCTAGGATTGGAATTATACATTTCGAAAGGGAGGACATCCAGAAAATGTGCAAATACTCTGGGATATTGCAAACAGCTCTTGGCATGCAGTTTGCAACCCTTGCCCTAAAACATTATGGTCAAGATGGAGAGATTTAACCCAGGCTGATATAATATTGCCCTGTCGCTAGTATTTTAATATGAAATTCTACCCATGAAAACCTCCAAAAAATCAAGGAAGATAACTTACTTCTTCTCTGGTTGAAGAGAAAGAGGTGGTCACAAGAAGAAAGGAGGGAAAGAAAGGGGAAAAAAAACATTAGTTGCTAGGTTGAAAAGAGAGATACTTTGACCCAAAAGAGTGATCTCAGAGAACCATGGACTGCTCTGGTGAGGTACTGTGAAAGTTTAAAAACCTACCAGAAAATCCACCCTGGCAGGGAAGGAAGGTAGAAAGAGCCTAGATAAGTCACACCTTTTGAAAGAGCAGCTCTTGGCATGCAGTTTGCAACCCTTGCCCTAAAACATTATGGTCAAGATGGAGAGATTTAACCCAGGCTGATATAATATTGCCCTGTCGCTAGTATTTTAATATGAAATTCTACCCATGAAAACCTCCAAAAAATCAAGGAAGATAACTTACTTCTTCTCTGGTTGAAGAGAAAGAGGTGGTCACAAGAAGAAAGGAGGGAAAGAAAGGGGAAAAAAACATTAGTTGCTAGGTTGAAAAGAGAGATACTTTGACCCAAAAGAGTGATCTCAGAGAACCATGGACTGCTCTGGTGAGGTACTGTGAAAGTTTAAAAACCTACCAGAAAATCCACCCTGGCAGGGAAGGAAGGTAGAAAGAGCCTAGATAAGTCACACCTTTTGAAAGAGCTCCATTCATGGACACAAATTCAAATGCAACCCTCGGTGCTTGAAAATGCTACTTTTTTTTGGCTCTCAGGTTCCAGGAGTTGCCATCCCAAAAATTAAAATTTACAGACTATGTGCAAGATCCACTTGTACACTGAGCACCCTATCTTCCTGGAGAATAAGATACAAAAGCTCTCCCGCACATGCACCGTCTCCAGGTGGGTTGGTATGTGGAGAAATCACTCTTTTTTTTCCTTAAAAGATATAGTGTGAGGAAAATTTTTGAAATTCTAGACTATTTTTATGAAGTTACACATGCCAAACACGACAGTAACTTACTCTGAAGACATCTTGGTGTTGTTGATGAGCCCCTGTAATAAACCAAAGGAAATGTGTATTTAATATACATAAATTGTTTTGGTGTAAATAAAACTGACCACTATTCTAACCACAAACAGGCAAGTCCTTACTTCCCTAACGGCCTGCTTCTGCTGAAATGGGAAGTAGTCCTTACATGTACAAACAACTGCCTAATATATCTTCAACCACTATACGAAGACTTTCCAAAAGTCAGCAAGTTTTAACAACCCTAGAAACAATGTATACCAAAACACCTGCAAACAATTCTTACAGCAGCTCAGACCAGACCAGCTGTGCTTTTTGACTTAGTCAAAAATATACATTTTATTGTAAGCATATTTAGTCAAGGTCATGTCCCCCCAATATGTACAGTATATGTATAATTACTGGAATACTGGTGGTTATTAGTTACACTTGTTGACTTCTTGAAAATAAGTTGCATTGTTAGTGACTGTAAGGCATAGCTGTCATTGGTTTCTAAGTGGTAATCCAAATGCATATGTCATTTTCTTTCGTTGGCTGATCCACGAAAGCTACCATCTCCTTGCCGGCCCTCAAACATTTGTGTTAGGTTCGGGATGGGCCAAAAAGTAGTTAATCCATGGCCGGAAAGGACATCCAGAGATCAGGGGCTGATCTCTCAAAAAGAAACCATATCCTGAGAAATGTGTAAGGGGCCTATCAAGTAACTGAGGAGAAAGTGCTTCTAAAAATGGGATCGTAAGAAACTGCAGCTGTCTCCTTAGGTTGCAGCACTTGTCCAGCCTGGGGTGACTCAGAAGGGATTCTTTCTGACTGCCACAGGTGGCCAAGGTAAAAATGACTGCAAGCTTGATGTGCAAGAAATGTCAGTGCTCCACCTGTGGAAAAGTACCACCACTCACTCTTCAGAGAACCAAAATACTTCCTTTTCTATTTTCATCTGCTCCTTCCCAGCAAGCGCAAAGAAAGACAGACAGTCAAGCCTGGGGTGACTCAGAAGGGATTCTTTCTGACTGCCACAGGTGGCCAAGGTAAAAATGACTGCAAGCTTGATGTGCAAGAAATGTCAGTGCTCCACCTGTGGAAAAGTACCACCACTCACTCTTCAGAGAACCAAAATACTTCCTTTTCTATTTTCATCTGCTCCTTCCCAGCAAGCGCAAAGAAAGACAGACAGTCAAGTATTACACCTTCNTCTTTCTGGGGAAAAACTATGTCGGAGGCTTTTTGCCAGGCTTCCTCTACCTGAAGAATTTTTTGTGTGTAGAAGCAGGTTGGATCAATTTGGGCAGCCCTCTCAGCTCAGATTTCGCTTTGTGTATTTGCACCATTTAAATTTCAATCAGCTCTGTCAGGAAGCAGGCATACCAAGTGTTTTACTTAGTTGATTGGAATTAAATCTGAGGACAGAGTAAACCGGAGCTTTTCAATGCTTGAATTATGAGAGGCCATGTCATTTTTATACAATGAGACCAGCAAGAAATGAGGAGGGGATCATGTCAGTGGAAACTGATCATTGTTAACAGAGAAGGCTAAAGAAGAGGAAAGACTGACAGATGCTGGGAGGACAGAGAGGTTCTTTCAATGATGAAGCTTAGATCCTTTTCCCCCAGCCAAGTCTCATTAAAATCTAGGAACCACCGTGTTTCCACTCTTTCCTTTTACTCCCTTAAACAGCAAGTGCGGTCAGTAAGAGACATGCAAAAAGGCTCACCTAAGTCCCAAGGAGAAAAACAGACAGCGCTGGTGTGGGAGGACAGGATCAACTGGCAAGGCAAGCAGCTGGCTCACCGAGGAGATATAAATGTGTTCCTTAAGCAGCTCTGCAAAAAAAACACCCTTCTCTCTTTAAGGGCATGGAAGCCTCCTCAGACCAATGGTGTGCAAGGGTCCAGAAATACAAACCACCACCCTCAACAAATGTGCTCAGTTTGGGAAGCATTTCAAGAAAGAAGTCTCGGAGGAGGGAGAAACTATTGGGATACCATATAATAATCATAATGAAAGGTGGGTATATTTACACCGGGGTGGGAGCACAATCATTCCCTACAGAGTATGTAGTAGTAATCACAAATTTGGCAAAAAGTTTATCACTGTGAGACTATTTGGGGGGGGGGGGAGGACCACATCCAGACCTTGTTACTCCTCAACACAATCAACAGTTTATCACAATTACCACCTAAGGGCCCTAATTCCTTTTGGACATGAAATTCTATTAGTGCTGTGTTGATTTGTCTAATTTGTATCTTGTCCTTCCTCCCACCGCACATAGTATTTCCCTGTTTTATCCTCACAATAACCATCTAAGTTAGGTTAAGCTAAGTAACTAGCGCTTGTATAACATGATAAAAGTCCTTCACAATACGCCAGTCTTACACCCTGTAAAGTGAGTTATCTCTACGGTGGGAGGAGGGACAGGGAAGAACTGAGGGAGAGAAGTAATAATCTACTGACCTCTAGAAAGTTTACTGTAGGGATGGATAGGATCTGAAGGGCTTCCTAAATGAAGTAAAATTGGGAAAGAGGCTTTCATGGGGGTATAGACACCCTAAACCAGATCAGAACCAGAGCAAGGGAAAGTTTTGTGTTTTTAAACACCTATCTGCTTCAACATTTGGAGCCAATCTGAATCAATGTCCCATCCCCATGTTTACAGTCAAACTAAACTTTCCATGGAATCTGTATTTCCTGCAGTTATTGGCTAGAATCCTGCTGAAGGCCAGCAGAGCATATGGCTCTACTCACGTAGTTCTACTCCGTCTCCTGGCATGATATTGCACAGAGACCACTTGTCTAAATGAACCTCCTTATGTAAGCTCTTAATATGTTTACCCGTTTATACCTTGGACTGTTTTGTGAGCAATTTGGCTGAACAGGATCCCAATCAGTATGTTTTCTTCCCCACAAGAGAATTTCCTTGGAGATGAATCAGTTTTGTGAAGCAAGACGATGTTTACCTTTGGAGAGTGATCACAAAACAAAGCACACCGAACAGGAAGCAGGTGAGGAAAAGCACATGCTACAGCAAAGAGATGTATTCACTCCTGCGTGGAAACCTCTTCTAAATACATGCTAGAAGTTCGATGCTGAGTTTTCAGTAAGAGTACAGATATTACTGCATGCTACATATTAATGATGACATTTAAATTAAACTCCCAGTCTAATTTCCACAGTGACTTACTCAATGCCACTTGGTCAGTTTCATGACTAATCAGGAATTTAAATGAAATGTTATGGTCCAAATTCACACCTCCTCCCACTACACTCACAATAATGCCTCACTGGGCATGTCTTAAGTCAGTTCAAAGGATACACTAATCATATTGATAGGCTGCATCTTTTAATCTGTAACTCCATTAAAGTTGACCATTCAGCGTGACATCCAAGGAAGATGGACTTTGAAGTTTCACAGTAATTCAGTGGATTTTGTATGTTTTCCATCGCTGTATGTATGTATGTATATCCATGTATATCCATATCCGGATATACGGATATACATATCCGTATGTATATCATCCTCTCCTCCCAGCCTTTTCCAGGGCTCTGAGCAAAATATGTATATCCATGTTTGATACTCTGAGCAGGTATAGAAAGGTAGTTTTTTTTTGTATGTATATGGATATATGTATGTATACGGATATGTATGTATACGGTATGTATGTATACGGATATACATATCCGTATGTATATCCATACTGTATGTATATCCATGTTTGATACGCTGAGCAGGTATAGAAAGGTAGTTTTTTTTTAGCTCCAAAGAAGGATTACAGAACCAACAGCAATATTGGAGTAAGATTATCCTTGCAGCTTCCAGAAAATCTCATTCTTCAGGCAACAAGGTTGTAGAGAGCATTGGCAGGGCACAGAGATCATATGCTTTAAATATACCGTAACAGCTAACACTGACAGAAAGGACGGTACTTATTGGCAACATGGATAGGACGTGAACGCCACTGAAGATCCTCTTTCTCATACAGTCCATTTAAACTGATGAACATTACATCTTGTGGGAGGGGGCGAGAGGAATATTATAACTCCCAGAATCCCCCAACAGGCATAGTTACTGGCAATACTGGTTGGGGGATTCTGGGAGCCCCAGTCCAAAGTGGTGAAGTTTCCATAACTTGCCTAGAATGAGTACAACGAGCACAACAAGGACTGTTTCATTAAAGGTCATCTTAGGTACTGTGGTAACATCCAAGAAAACCTGAAGCATAATTTGTGAAGTTATCTGCAATGAAAAGTACTTGTGGGAGGTCTATTTAAATATGGCAGGCAACATCATTTGGCAAGTTTCTTTTTCCTTTCTACCTCTTCCAGGTGTTCTGCTGTCCTCCAAACTCAGCCACCTGGAAGATAACTGAAGTAATAACAGGGTTGTAAACTTCAGAGTGGCCCCCCCAATCTAAAATTCGTCCAACCACTAGTTTCTTTTTGACACCAGTCCAGGTGAGGCAGCCTCCTTGGTTGGAAATGCTGGCAATAGCAATGGCAGTCCCCACCAGCTTTCTGCCACAGTCCCCCCGTCAATCCCTTCAATTAAATAACAGAACTGTCTTGCTGTTTGCGCCATACAGCTTGCCTCTGCACCCTCATCCTGCTCTTCTCAGTGGTGGTGGTGAAGGACACCAACCCATTGTCAGAACTGTGAGGAGACTCAACTACCAGCTAAGTTTGCTTCTGTCTGTGGAATGGAGGTGGGGAGGAGATGGTGTCTTGTCCTTTGCCCCAGGCTATAAAATGTCTTGAGATGACCCTGGCTTATAGAGCACTAAGAGCTTCCACACTTGGCTTCCATCCCGCTTCTCAAACCTGGTCATTTTCTAGCTGTTAGCATTACTTCTGTGTTGGTTAGACTCTGCCCTTCAGATCCCAGTCAAGTCTGATGTACAGCTTGCCACATCTGATGTATAACTCGCTTATGTAGGTACACATGGAAAAGTAAGAGTACCCTCCCCATTACAAGTGTGCCCACAGAAGAAAATTTTGGCGAATACTGTATTATGCCCCACCTGGCTTGCATTGCATGCTGACGGAGAAGAGGAGCGTGGAGCACATGCTACAGAAATGTGCTTTGGATTGTTTCAAAGAGCTGATGTGTTTTGAAACAAAGAATACTTCCGTTTATATTCTGCAAAGCAGACTTCCTTGGTTTGAAGACCCTCCAAATGTGTTTTACTGCAATTCCCATCACCTAACTAGCACAGCTGCATATAGGAGGTATTATAGGGCAATGCATCTGGAAGAGGAGGCTGCTTTATATGTGACCTTAAAATTAAGACATTAGATTCATGACCAGGTTTAAAAAGCAGATTGCTATAAACATGTACTCATTTACTCAAGGTTTGCCCCAATCTCACTAGATTTTAAAAGCAAGTCACTTTAGGGCTTCCTGTTAATCAGTAACTAGCCTGCTGGAAACAATTGGTTGCATCACTACAGCCACTCTCCTTTGTAAGAGCTGGGAGCTGCAAAAAAATGATATCTGTGTTATCACAGGACACCGTTGCCAAACGACAGTGCAAACAGTGGGTGGGCACATCAGTAGTAGATGAGGAGTAGCTTTGCTAGTGAGAGGCTTCACTTTAGTGATGTGGAACAGTGAGAGTCAAGCATGAGGCTGGCTTTTCCATCCCCAGTCGTATGCCTCAGAAAACAGTTTCCTTTTGCCACCTGCTGGTGGAACAACGGCCACAGCAACTGCCAAAGGGCACAAACCAGCAAGTCAGTGAAGAACATAGCTTGGTTGAAACCAACCAAGCACAGATACGACTGAGCAGCACACCAAAACTCCATCCCACTGACTTCCATGGAGCTGGGCCCTTAGGGAAGAAAACTCATTTACTATAATGTAGCACCAAAATAAACACAGGTACATTCCTGCAGCAGCAAAGAAGATAAACAGGTTTTCATTAAATGATCAGCTATAAAGGGGTGGCAAACTGGTGTCGTTCCCCCACACCCACCTACCCAATATTCTTAAGATTATAATTCTTATCAGTCTCAGCAGGGGTTCATGTACACCACCAACATCTAGAGGACTGCAAGTTTCCCAGTCTGAGCTCTACTTAGAATAGGAGGAAGATTGCATACAGCCTAGCCCTAATAAAGAATTCAGCTCAAAATGTGAAGGGGGTTCTTGATCCCTGAAGAAAATGTACGTAGTCCCTATGGATTCTGGTAGCACTTCTTTGTATGTGCATTGAGACTTTTCACAGCATGCCATACATTTTGGCTGAGTTTAAGTCGGGTGCCTCAGCTAAAACTCCAGCCCCAGCAAGTTTACGCTGGCCCTCACTATTTGACAAAACTTCTGATATTATAAAAACACAAATCAGCAAATAACGTATGCTAAGATTAAGTTAGAGCAAAATGTTTACTAAATGTCCAGGTATTCTAGTATCAATTTTATAATCTAGATAATTTTCAAGAATACAAACTTGTCCGCTTGTAAACCATTAGTATGATCAATAACAGTTTACTTTCTAGGCTATTCCCAATATATACAAAGGGACTGTTGATTGTTTCTCTTGCTCCTTGGACATTGGTATAGCTAGCTACAGGACATAAAGATGGAGGGTTTGAATCATATTTTGTTCTTTTTATTTTTTACAGGGTGGTGGGATCTGCCTAGCGCTCTGATGGAAGAGATGAAGAAAAGGGAAGGTTCTGTTTTCATGGATGCCACTGACTGGTAGAGTTCCTTGTCCCTTAAAGGTGACATAGCAGCAACGAGGAACTTTTGTCATGATGAAGCCTGAGTGAATACGGACCGCACAGCTATGAAACTGCAACGGCTCTATGCTACAGGACCTCTGGCTGAAGCACTTACGATCTTCTGCTAGAGAACTCCAGCACTAGTGGACTCCAGCATTTGAAAAGTCAATTGTTATTTATCCCTCTGCTACAGAATAAAAAGGCCACTGCATCTCACCCACCCCAGACTAAATACGCCACCAACATGACCATCCAGCATTCCAAACAAAAAATGTTCCCATTCTGTAACAAGGAGAAATTCAGCCAGAAGAGAAAAAAAAAGAATAAATGCCTACTTTATTCCAGTCATTGAACCTGAGATTTGCAATCACCAAATTCAAGTCCCACTACTGACAACAGGACACTTGTCCATTCTTGATTTACAGAGCTTTTTACAAAAGCAAGATTTGACAAGCTCATTTCTCATTATAGCTAAGCTACTGTTTAGGCAATTCTCCACTCTAAACATTCTCATCCAGCATGTGTTATAGCTGTAAGAGTTCCCTGATACATTAAAGAGGCATCCCATGCCTCTTCCACGGGCTGAGCCTCCACAGTTCAAGAAATATGGAAATAGGTCTCATTAGCAGAGTTATTTGCCTCTTGAATCTTGAAAGAGCTTGCACACTATCCTATTGAGCTTCTGCTGAAGAGAAAGCCTGTCTAGCGCAGTAAATGCAGGATCATGCTGTTTGTGCAAGGACTGTGCAAGCAGTGATTTTCATGAAGAAAACCCAGCAATCACTTGTACATGAGTGTTTGCATAAGCAGTGTGATCCTGCATTGACTATGGGTGACACAAATCCACCTGACTATCCTGAGGTGGGAGCTTTCCATTCAGCAAAAGCCCAATAGGATAGTGGTGGCTGCACATATATCCAGCATTGAGGTGTTTCATGTTTTGCCAAGTCACATCCCACTTGCAATAAGGTGCATAAGATATCAAAGCAGTGATTTATAGCTGCTACCCTCAGTGAATTAACATGGCTGTGCAGCGATTTGAATCCAGGTCTCCTGAATCCTAGCCTACTACTCTACCTGCTACATCACCCTGGTTCTCAGCGTGTAAGTGCAGACCCTTAAAGGCTATGTGCAAATTGTGGCCTGACCCAACTGTCAGTCCCAACTAAAGGAAGACCATTAAGCAGATTTAATTGTAGAAGGGGCAGCTATGTTAGTTTGTGCAAGCACTATAGGTAAAAAAAAAAAAACATGGCGGCATCTTAAAGACTAACTTTTATATTTTTTTAATGTGAGCTTTCTTCTCAAAAGCACAAATATAAAAGTTCATCTTTAAAGTGCCACCACATTTTTGTCCTTTTTATTTTTATTTGGTTTTTTACCTATAATGAACAGATTTGAGTCAGCCATTGTGTGCATCACCTTGTTTATACTCTAGTTGGGACAAAAAATTAAGAGTAAGCCCTCTGCATTCAGGTCCATGTGTTGCATAATTTAGCTTCCTGAGAAGCTCAGGTTTCATCTTTCAATAAGAATTTTTTTCTGGCCATTAAGATTGCAGAGATGTGCTTGAAAGAGTGTGGGTGTTGCTTCATCACTTCCTTTCTGGAACTTCTGGATCTGGTGTATTTGCACCTTGTGATGAACCACTGGCTGTAGGTGGTAACTTCACAGCTAGGCACTGTCACGTCCTGTGCTGACACCACTCCCCGAGCCTGGCCACTGTATCTAGATAGGCAGGAAGGTGTATAAAGAGTTGAGTTTTGCTCAAGGAACAAAGTGTTGGTTATTCTTTGCTCTTGGCTGAAATCCTGTTGCACACCTCCACCATCACTGGCAGTAGCAAATGGCCACTGACTAAAGGCGTCCTTCTGTGATTATGGGGTGTGCAACACTTGCACACAATCTGACAGTCATATGCACCCTGAAATCACAAAACAAAGCCTTTATAATCAGTAGCAATTTGCTGCTACTGCTGATGTCATTTCCGTTGCACAGGCTGGTTGCCTCCAACAGGATTTTGGCCTAGGATTACTAGCTTGTTCTATAGCTGCCAGATCTTCTCAGATTGCTGCCTTTGGGCTAGCCCTGAGAACGTCAGGTGCCAGCAAAAGAGCTGGTACCGTGTCCAGTTATTAAGAGGTATAGCTTGTAGTAACTTCTTGTACTTCTTTCCCCTGACTGGTTGAAGAACAGCAATAGAATAGTAAATACTGTGAATTCTCTTTTAAACCTCAAAGTGCACATAACTCTCAGTGGTAGGAGACACAGGACAATACTTGGCATTTTGTACTGAAGGATTTCAGAGTGCAAAAGATCCTGTCAAATGAAATTGAACCAAAGGCAGCTCCTTTTAAATTAGAGATCTCATAACAGTGGCAGAAAGGTAAGGCCCTGCGGAAGGCCTCAGGCAGCACTTCAGAACGCACATGGAATTTTAACAGCCTTCTGTGGCTATCTTCCTTTTACATCCAAACTAGATACAGTGGCAATGCGTGCATTTCAACATGGAGCTTCTCTCAGGCACAGGGGATGGTCTTCAGTATCAGAAGCATGAAGCGTACATTCCTCAGAGTTTGGAAGGTTACTTTAAAATGTAATTTATTCCTGTTAACTCATCATAATGTCTGAGAAGTAGTGACTTATTGATGTGTGTGAAAGTAACTTGTGTTTTTCTTTTATTTTTGGTTACCATCTGTTACTGTGCAGGGTAGAACGGTTAAGAGAATAGTATGTATAATTCCTGTCAAAGTAATTCCAAAAATGCTTAAATATGCCCTCAAAAAGAATAACCCCCCAAAAAGTAAATCATCAAGGGAATAAATTTGTTCCCATTTTCAACAATGCATTTGGAAAAGAGTCCTGAAATACAGTAGTAAAACTTCTTAGCTTCACAACACATTCATTGTCATCAAAGAGAGATGTTGCAGGTAATGACATTAGTTGTGACTCATTACCTCCAAGCTCTGCTGTGGATAAACCACACAGGATCAACCATCCCCTGCCTGCATTCTGCCTCTTAAATACAAAAAACTGTTTTGGAATAGAGGTTGCACACAACGAGAGCTTCCCACACTCCTAACAAGCCTGGTCCCCATTTTTCCTACACAACTGAAGCAACTCTTATGTTGAAATGCATGCAACGTCCACCTTGGCCTTCTAGCTTAGTCCTACGTCCATGCCATCTTCCTTGACATGGCCTCTTTAAAGCATTCCAAGTCCACTTCTCCTGGCCAGAGGGACTTCTCTAAGTGCACCAGCAAGTCACGGTGGCACTCTTGGATGTTAACAGGATACCTCGCTCGGACAAACTCATAAGCATCCAGTAGCCTCATGTGGTGCTTCACCATCAGGTACTGGATGACGCAGGTTGGAGCCAGAGAGTAGCCATCCCTGCAGTGAATCAGGACTCGCTTCCTTTTCTCCAAAGAGGCTTCGATGCACACATTAATGTCCCAGAAGCATGGGGGCTGCAGTGAGAAATAGCCCTCCTGCAAGGGGCCCTGGATCTGCACCTTCAGGCGGGACCAGCTGTGTCGAGGGGCCCGGCTGCAAGTGCAAGGGATGAAGCTCAGACTGGAGTCTTTGGGCAAGTTACTCATGTCAATGATGCTGTCAATGTTGTTTTTGCATAGCACCTGGCCACTGTAGGCGGCACTCAGGTTCCCCACGTAGATGCAATCTGTCACCCTGCTGATGACTGGCTCCAAGTAGCTAAAGCCCTGCACCCCTCCTGGCTCAGCATCACTGGCTGCCGCTGGTTGGAAACTCCCATGCTGGCACTTTTTGGAGGCCGAAACAGAGACGGGACTGGAATCAGAACTGTGGCTCCGTAGCAATGGAGAAAATAAAGATGATCGGATGGAAGACTTGGGCTTGGATGAGGGTTCCATTGGCTTGGGTAGGGTGGATTTGTACAAGGGACCGGATGCAGAGGAACAGAACCTGAACACCCGTTCCAGAGAACTTGTGCTGTTGGCTGCCCTCTCAGTGTGGGCTTGCTTCGTCTGAGTGAAAAAAACACACACATACAAATATGCTAGTTAAACTTCAGGCAATCTAGAGCAACAGGTCTCACTGGACCCACAAATTAGCCCAATGGTACATCACTACAGCAAAAGGGACATGGTGGCGCTGCGGGCTAACCCGCAGAAGCCTGTGCTGCAGGGTCAGAAGACCAAGCAGTCGTAAGATCGAATCCATGCGACGGAGTGAGCGCTCGTCGCTTGTCCCAGCTCCCGCCAACCTAGCGGTTCGAAAGCATGTAAATGCAAGTAGATAAACAGGGACCACCTTGGTGGGAAGGTAACGGCGTTCCGTATCTAAGTCACACTGGCCATGTGACCACGGAAGATTGTCTTCGGACAAACACTGGCTCTATGGCTTGGAAACGGGGATGAGCACCGCCTCCTAGAGTCGAACACGACTGGACAAAAAATTGTCAAGGGGAACCTTAACCTTTACCATTACATCACTTCGGCATGATCTTCAGCTTATGTATTTTCCACTAAATGTCTAATCCTACCCTTCACAAGCCCTTTGGACAGCGATTGACCCCAGCCGTACTTGGGACTCAAGACGCTCACCTGAGCATCAAGACCCTGCGGAGACACTGAGCTATTATACCATCGGATACCATCTGACGACAATGATGAACAAAGGACCTTGTGAGTCTTCTTGGGTGACCGGGGTCCAGAAGAGGCTTCTCTACTCATCTTTTGCTCCAAGACATCATTCCTGTTCATTGTCAGGTTTGGGCATGAACCTGGAAAACACAGACAATCCCAGTTCATTATATATATATGTTTGGAAACTTTTTATCTTCGAGAAGGCCTTTCTATTCAATTGACTCCACTGCCATTGCCTGGAGATTTCATTTTCTTTTAGATTTTGTTCTCTCATAGGCATGCACTTGTCCAATGGGATGCCTTTTCAAATGAAGCAGCATCCCATCTAATTCTATAATCCTTTCCCTCTTTCATTTAATCATGTGCTGTAGTGACTCACAGAGATTCTAACAGGGCTTTCGAGGTAAGTGAGATATTTAAAGAGTGGCTTTACCAGTTCCAGTCCCCCATGAATTTCCATGACTGTGTGGGGATTCAAATCCAGGTCTCCTGAGTCTTATTTCCCCATTAGAAGGCTTTTAATCTGAACAAAATTAAGATAAAACCAGTAACCTCCAAAATTTGCCAGAGAGAAAACTATTTTAGTCAACTGCAGTAAAACAACAAAGGGTCCTGGTACATTTCAGCACTCTATTCACACAACATTTCATACAGTGACAGCCTAATGAGCCCATGGCAGGTCTGTCTCCTGTGTGGCTCCCAGACTGCAGAACACACTCCTTCCTGAATTGCAATCTGTTTTCCATTCTGATTGATCTTATGAAGGGAGTAAAATGCATCTTCTGAGACTGGAATATGATGTCTTCCTGCCCTGCTTTGTTGCCTTTAAAGTATTCCTGCTTATTTTAATAATTTTAATATACAGTACTTGCTGGTTTTAATGACTTTACAGTGTAATTGCTTTACATTATTTTATTGCTGAAATACCATTGGCTTAGCGTAGTAAGTCACAAGTAGTGTAGGTCTACTGAATCAGTGGGGATTTGCTAAGTTAACTCCTCTGTACTTACCACTGATTCAGTGGGCCTACTCTAGTTGCAACTTACTACACTAAACAACAGAATTTCAGCTAAATGTGGTTTTATCTGTTCTTATTCTTTTTTAAAAATCTGCAATCTGCCTTGAAGGCTACCTTTCAGTGAAAGTGGCCAGAATTTCATCTTTAGTTTTGATTGTTTTGGTGTTAATCACAGTGTGGGGAATTCATTTGTCAGGGCAGTCAGAAGAAGCCAGGGGTTGCCAAAAAAAAAAAAAAAAGCCTCAGGGCCACACTTTGCCCTAAAAAGCAAAAAATTTCTGAGAGGAGAATCTGTTCATAATGGGCTCCAACAAACCTTTTTTTAAATGACAAATGGTACCACTATATTGTTTAGTGGTTCCAATCTTTCCTTAAAGCCTGGAATCAGATTCATAGAATAATTCCAAGTCAGGAAGTATAATGTCTTTTCCACAAAACTAAAGGCAGGAGAAGGAATAAAAGAGGGAGGAAAAAATTACAATCTCCTTCAGATACATCAAAAAGTGGATTTTGATCCATAAAAGTTCACACTAAATAAATCTGTCAGTTTTAAAAGTGATTTGCACCCCTCTTCTTTTTCTTCTATTTTCTCGTTTTGAATTCTGCAACATGCTGAGACAAACTAATATAACAGCTTTTTAAAAGTGTCTTGTATGCCTCACCTACCTGTACAGCGCTGGGACAAAGTTACAGGGGAAGACAGATGCAAGGCCTTCCGAAGGTGCTTTGTGAGCAAACCTGGAAGGAGAAAGAGCAATGAACATTAGGAAAGCAGTTAATCAAACCAAACGAGG